GCGGTCGCAAAACCTCGACCACCTCGACGGGGCCCCGCCATGGCCGTACCAGTTTCGAGGAGGTCGCAAGCGGTACCTGGGGACAGTGCAGCCATGCCCTGTCCCCTGGCTTCCACTGCAGCACGTGCGCGCGCGCAAGTCTGAGGCGCTCATTCGCCTTTTGGCGCATGCGGGAATTGAGCATGGCAGCATCCCGCGCCTCAGTTAGCTTTTGAAGGTTAAATTTAACGTGCTCGTCCAATTTAATTTTACCTAGAGGCGCGGGGATCTGCAGCTGTGCCCGAACAGGTGGGTCATGTTCGCGACCATACATGAGAAAGAAGGGTGAAAATCCCGTGGCAGCATGGGGGGCCAATCGATATGCTGCCAGGACCCCTTGAATTTGCAAGTCCCAATTGGTCTGTGACTCCGAAACCAGGTGCGACAACATAGACGTGATGGTACGATGCAGACGCTCGACCATCCCGTCAGTTTGTGGGTGATAGGGAGAGGTACGAATCTTCTTTGTACCTAGGAGATCACAGACTTGTTTGAGGAGGTTCCCGGAAAAATTTTTACCCTGGTCGGTCAGCAGCCGCTCCGGAGCACCTTTGTCCATGACGTAGCCTTGGACAAAGGCGTCCACGATGGCTGCTGCCGACTGATTTGCCAGGGGCCAGGCCATAGGCCAGCGTGTGAAGTATTCGACCCCTGTTAGCAAATATCTATTGCCCCTAGGGGTGGCGGGAAACGGCCCCAGGATATCCAACGCTACGAGTTCGTTCACCCTGGAGACTGTGATGGACTGCAACGGCGGGTTCGACTCCCGAGCTGGTGGTTTGCGTTGCGCACACCGGGGGCATGCTGCCAGGAGATCCGTGACATCCCGTGTCATGCCCGGCCAAAAAAAATCCAGCTGGAGCGAGGCGAGGGTCTTTTGGGTACCCAGGTGGAGGAGGCGCTCATGAGCAGCCCACACCACCTTACCCCGTAACCCCGCAGGAACTACCAGCCGGTGACGGTGGGATTTACCGTCCCAATGCATGAGCAAGCCCGCGTGTATTTCCCAATTGTCGGCATCACCCGTCCCACACCCCCTCTCCCTGGCGCGACGACGCAGCGCGAGGAGGGAGGCGTCCTCCATCTGGAGGCGTCCCCACTCAATCACAGGCAACCCAAGCAGGGAATCCCTTCCCTGTTTCCCGATCTCATCGGGGAGCGATGTGTCAACATCGGCGGCGGCCGCCAGGACTGGAACCGTCATGTCCCCAGCTGGCTTGCAACGCCCCGACCCCAGGAGGCATGCGCATTCGGAGGTGGTTGGCATGCGCGATAGAGCGTCCGCATTTGTGTGGCGAATGCCCTTACGATAGGTGGTGTCAAAATCGAAATCCTGGAGGACCTCCAGCCATCGGGACAATTGTCCCGATGGCTGTTGAACCTTCAGGGCGTACTGCAGTGCCGCATGATCCGTACGGACAGTGAAATGCTGACCGTACAGATATGGGCGGTACTGTTGGATGAAGAAAACAATTGCCAACAGTTCTCTACGGGTGACACAATATTTTTGCTCCGCTGGAGACAACACCCGACTGCCGTACGCAACCACCCGTTCCACGCCATCAACCACCTGGGAAAGCACGCCTCCGATACCTGTGTTGCTCGCGTCGGTGTCGAGCAAAAACGGCCTCGAAAAATCGGGGTAAGTCAAAGGAGGAGCCTTCACCAATGCATCCCGAAGGGAGCAGAAAGCTACTTCCTCATCCCGACCCCAGTGGAACCGAACCCCTTTTGATGTCAAAGCATGTAGGGGTTTGGCAATTGTAGCAAAATTAGCGACGAACCGTCGGTAATATGAAGCGAAGCCAATAAAACTCCTCACCTCCCCCACCGAGGTCGGAATTGGCCAGGAGCTGACACACTGCGTTTTGGCGGGATCGGTAGCAATACCTGAGCGCCCCACGATGTGCCCCAAATAACGCACTGACTCGCGAAACAAATAGCATTTTTGGGGCTTAAATTTCAAATTAGCAGCCCGCATCCTTTGGAAAACCGCCCGCAGCCTCTGGAGATGTTCGTCAAAGGTTCTTCCAAAAACAATTACGTCATCCAAATAAATCAGGCACGATTCCCATTGCAATCCAGCCAAAACCAATTCCATCAACCGCTGGAAGGTTGCCGGCGCTGAGTGTAAGCCCATCGGCAACCGGTTGAATTGGAACAGGCCGTGCGGTGTACGGAAAGCGGTTTTAGGCTTCGAATCATCGTCCAGAGGAAGCTGCCAGAATCCCGAAAGTAAATCTAGTGTGGAGAAGAATCGCGCTCCCGCCAAGGCGTCCAGCGATTCGTCCATCCGTGGGAGCGGGTATGCGTCGGCAACCGAAACCTTATTAAGGCGACGGAAATCTACGCAAAACCGCAACGAGCCATCCTGTTTCTTAACCAGGACAATCGGTGCTCCCCAAGGGCTGGTAGAGGGAGAGATAATGTCGGCGGCTAACATGTCATCGACAGCCGATTTGACATGGTCCTTTTCGGCGGGACTCAACCGAAAAGGATTTTGGCGAATAGGCGTGCTGTCACCCGTGTCAATATGGTGACGCAGCAGGTGAGTACAATCCAAATCGTATTTATTCCGACTGAAAACGTCGGAAAATTCCTTTAGCAGCGATCTAAGCCGTTGGCGCTCTAAATTGGACAGGTTCGTCGATCCCGCACAAAGCGCGTCGAGCCACCCTTCATCGCCGTCCGAATGCGGGTGCGTCCGAGCAGCAGTGTCAATGTGGTTCACGGCAGGTTCCTCGCAGGGCACCGGCGTCGCGTGAGCGAGCACAGTCCCTTGGGGAACCACTACTGTCTGCGACCCGACATTGAGGACCGCGATGAAGGGATCCTCGTCCCCCCTTACGATGGTCTGGGCCGGAATTAAATGAGGCCCATTAACCCCGGCCCTAGACGGCCCCAGCACAACACCCTGATCCCCAACACCCTTAGCGAAGGGCCTACGAAGTTTAAGAGGTACCAGCATTTGTGCCCCCGGCGGCACACGCACTGTTTTTACGACGAACGCCGGTACCGTCGCGAACGCCGTCCGAGTCGCTACAGGGGAAGGCAGGAACGCCATACGTCGCCCCGACGGAAGCTCAATGCATCCTTGGTCGATCAAAATACGAATTGGCATCCTGCCCAAGAAGTCCGTCCCCAGCAGGCACGGAACTGCCAGTGAGGAGGAGACAAAAATCGGCCCCGACAATTTGATGTCCCCGATAGAAATTTGCGCTCGAATCTGTCCCACGATGCCGAGAGAGCCCCCGTTAGCGGCATAGAAAGGGACATTAACCGGTAGCAAAGGACGGCTCTGCACCGGTAGAATATTGTAAATTAGTTCCGAAATAATTGTCGCCGATGCCCCTGTATCGACTATGATGCGTACCTCCACCCCATCAATGTAACCGACCACGGCCGACGATCCCGACGCCGCGGCCACCACGCGATGGGCCAACACGGACCACCGCTCGGGCTCGATTTGAGTCCCCGCAGTGATCCGCGCCGGTCCATCGCAGCGCCCCACCGGCCCCCCGTTCGTTACGGTGCGAGAGTGTGCGACAGGTGGGTGCGTTGGCCAAACATGTGAGGTGCCGCGACTCGCCGGATCATGGTGCTGGAGCTTGGGAGGAGGAAGAGGAGGGCCGGCGTCCTGTCGAGGCGTCGTCCCCCGCTGTCGAGGAGAACGGCACCCCGAGGCGACATGGCCCCGGATGCCGCAGTTGAAGCACCGCGGGAGCGCCTGATGGAGACGATGGACGGTCGAAACGCCTCGGCCCGTCCCGACCCGGCCGCGCCCCCGTCGTCTGTTGCCGTCGATGGTCGACGGCATAAAGTTCTTCTGACGGAAGGGTGGCTGCAGCCACCGCACGCCCAGCCGATGCCCTGTTTGCCTTTCGCCGCTGCTGCAGAAGGTTGGCGTGGAGGAGTCGCGCAGCCTGGAGGGAGGTCATTTCTGCATCCCCTTGTGCGATGACGACGATGTCGAGGTCGTCCGCCAAGAGGAGGATCTTCTCCGCGACCATTGCGTCCACGCCGTCGTCGTCCATGCGGGGAAAGGCTGTTTTTGCCAGCGCCAGAAGACTTGTCCGGAAAGCCAGAGGCGACTCTTTTTCACCCCGCCTGCGATCGTAGAACTGCTGACGGCATTCGGCTGAAGGTCCATAGACCCCGGCCAGCAGCTGTAGCGCCATTGGTAGTGTAGCCCGCTTCTCTTTTGGCGCCGACGTGAGTGCGGCGAGCGCGTCCCCATCGAGGAGCGCCGGCAGCGCGCAAAGGGCCTCCTCGTCGGACCACCGCGCCATCTCCTGATGGGCGAGGAAGCGTCGCCGGAAGCCGCCCCAGTCACCCTCCGCACCGATGAATTCCTTCAGCGGGGGCAGCCTTTGGTGAAGCGCAGCGGTCGATGTGGACTCCCGCAGGTTGCTTTCACCTCCCTTTGGCGGTGCCTCGGCAGCGACTGGCCGATGGCATCGCCTGTCGCGGCAGCGATGACGCATCCTTCGGCTGCGATGACGCTGCAGCCCCGGCGACGGCGATGTCGGAGCCGATGTCTAAGCTGGCCACGCCCCGAACAGCCGCGGCGTCCATGGCGGGAAATTCAAATTGTGAAGTCGCTGAAATGGCGGGAAAGTGCTCCGGCCGCCGGTTCTCCTCGCCCTGCGGTGGACCACCAGCCCCCAACCGCGTAATGCCTTCCAGTGTGGCGGCAGCGGCATAAAGTAGCTCCGCCAGCCGTTCGTGAGCCAGTCGTAGTGCATCTGGCTGCGGCCCCTCTCCATGCTGACGTCCCGGTGAGAAGGCGCCAGGCTCCGGCTGCACCCCATCTTGTTGCTCTGTCTCGGGCTCGGCGATCTCCGCGGCGTCCTCCTCTTGTGGTACCCTGGTCCGAGCTGTATGGCGCGTTTCCATTTTTACCACTTCTGACGCCAGATGAAGTACCCGTCGAGGACGCTTGACAACGGAGTTGAGGCACACGTATATTTATTTAACAAGTTGCCAGTACAGGACAGCCCTAGAGGGGGTAGCGGCCCCCTCACCCGTATAACTCAGGGAATACCCCTAGCTATCCATAGCCTATCCCCTGAGTCCTCCACTAAGAGCTAGGGGAGGCTGTCTGGCCCGACACTGGTAATCGGGCTCGGTACCCGGAGTCCCAGAGCACTGGCTCTGGTTCACGGGACCACGCCACTGGCTCGAGCCTGATCCCGTGGGGCCCTGATAAGGGCGGCGATCAGGGGGAGTCCAGGGCTCTAGCTACGACGTCTTCCGACTTCTTAGCTTAACTATAACATAACTGCCTAAGCCCATATAACGACCCCTTTTTATACCCAACCCTCCTTGAGGGGTGGGGCCCCGGGGGATCGTAACGCCGAACCAGCCCCCCCCCAGGGTGTCTGGCTCGGACGTCGCAGAGGGCATCTCCCTGTGCACACACGTAGCCCCGCCCACTGTGTTTCTTTCCCATAGGCTGCCATGCATAACGGCCCTCTCTCCAACGTCCCTACACAATTAACAAAATAAAAAAAACTGGTATCTGACACTAAAAACGAATTGCCTAAATTATCAACAGAAGGTGTATATCGGATTAATTGTTTATGTGACAGATGCTATATTGGACAGACGGGACGTAACATCAGCATAAGATTAAAAGAACACCAAAGAAACATTAAATTATCTCAAACACAACTGTCGGCAGTGACAGAGCATGCTTGTCAACAAGGACACTCAATTGATTTTGATAACGTTGAAGTTTTGTGTAAAATTAATTATTACTGGCCAAGACTAATTAGAGAATCCATTTAAATTGAAACAGAAATAACTTCAATCGCTCTGGCAGCTACAGGCTTAGTGTGGCCTGGAAGCGTATTATTATATAAATACAATTACAATTCCTTATAAGGGAAAAAAATACCAATGAATAACAATTGAATGATTACCAATCTATATAATTACAATACCCTCCCCCTCTTTGCCTCGAATCATTGCACCAGATCGAATTGAATTAAATGATGACGTCACCCTGATGCTGCTCTATTTACGACCGGAAGCAACAGGAGAGCTTCACCATTCTTGCCCGATGAAGCTGATTGTAATTATCAGCGAAACGTCGTATTCAAATAAAAAAAAATGCTGTTGATTCTATCTTCAGCACACCGGTGGGCTAAAAAAGTGAATTATTTTGTCCTTTGAAAAACGTGACACATTTTTTACTGTTTGGCCGTGTCGGGTGGTGGAGGGTTACGACACATTTATAAATAAGGCGATCTGACCCCAAAACCTATATTACGTTCTACTTAATTAAATATACTTTTAATACATGTTTTCTCCTACATCAGAGGGTAGTGCCACATTAAATACGCACTGCAATGACAATAGTTTAAATCGATTTGAAGCATGTTTTTTTGGGGGGGGGAGGGTGGGTAGAGCTTTGTGACGTCATATTTGAGGGGGGGGTCTGACTTTTTATGACGTCGTGTGACGAAGGGGGGGGGTCAAAATCGTCCAAAATCGCGTGACGTCATTTATGGACGGCCCCTGTATACAAACTGTGTACACACACACGGTGTGCGCGCGTGTGTACAGTTGGCACAGTAGGGGGCACAGGTGGTGCATCGACCAGTCATCTCAGTTGAACCATGGCACCTGAGTCTGCCCTGTGACCTCCTGCCGGCGGGAGTTCGACACTTCACGTGGCCTTAACGTGCACATAGCCTGGCACAAGCGCCATGGTGACTTCACCACCACGTATTGGCGAATGGCAGTCATTGTTTTTGTTATTGTGTTTGTGTATACAGTGTATGTGCAGTGTGTATGCTGTATATACATTGTGTGTACACAATACGTCTACACTGCGTATGTGTACAGTGTTTGGGTGGTCCGAATCAGTCGGGCGGCATTATCTTTTCATCAGCTCTGCAATGCTGTGTGGAAGCTACCTGGCCTGTCGCTCTGCATGAAGCTCCGGGTCTTCTCGGCAACAGTCATGCCCTCCAATCTGTAAGAATGTGAAACGTGCACCCCTCTAAATGGAACATCTGCGCTGGTTAGAAACACTGGCTGGCATGCCTACACTCAGATTGAGGGAAGCCAAGTGGTAGCGCATACTCGATTTATTGCAGAGGTTCAAGGTTCAAATCCGACAGGCACCCCTGGCTACTCCAGTAACATCAACCAAAATATGCACCGTCTGCTTAAAGAGTGGATGTAAAACATAATATTGTGTTATTCAAAACACATAGGTCTTTGTATGTTGGTGTCATTGTACAAATTTGGGAAATTCCAAAAATTATCCAGAAAATGCACAACTGAGATTACACATCAATTATCGCCCCTGACTGACAGACTCATGCCCACATGCAGGCTGGTGCTGGGACACCTTATGCCACACAGAGGCAGCTGCCACATAGGGGTGCTCTTCGAGTGTTTGTGATGAGATATGATACAAAACTCCGAATTGCTGAGGCAATTAAGCAAGTTTAACACGTAGGCTGTCGCGACCAACATCATCCATAAGATTTTTTTTGGGTCACGTAAATAGAAATTCGCTCTCTCTAGTCGTCTCGCCTAGCCTAAATCCCAACCCTGACCGTGTAACACCGATGGCGCTGACCGAGACAGTCAACAACTATCCGGCCGCACAATATCTAGCGAAGATGACAGCGACGACGACACGAGCACACTCACAGCACAGGCAGCGCTGAGCTCCCGCTATCAGCTGCTTTTATTGTACCCAGCGTGGCCTGGCTCCGCATTGGTCGCGCCTTTCTTCTCGAACCCTCTAGCAGGTTCCAGGGGTTTCCAGATAGGGTCTTCCATGACCCTTGCCCCAGTTCCTCCGCCCTGCCGACACACTCCGTGTATATGCTCACCGGCGTGTGTACTGTTTGTCCACCGCAGTTGCCGTTGCAACTGCAACCGGTGGACAGGCAGAGCAACCCCAACCCCGAGGAACACCACCAACACAAAAAAACTATTTACCCCAAAAAAAAACCTTGGTTGCAACACTTCCCGCGACCATACAGCACAACCGCAGCGTCTCCCGCGAACCATAACCACACAGCGCAACTGCGGCATGGGCAAGAACCCCATCAAGGAACGCATAACCGTGACGCCTCCCTTCCCCCATGAGAACCGATAACACAAGCCAAACAATATACACAACCCCCCCGAATCTCACCTTACAAGGGAGAGTCCGCCTTTACCAGAACATAGCTCACGTGAGCCGGTCCTCGACACTGGTCACCCCCGCCTTGGCAGGGTTTTGCATTCCTTGGGATTCCGAGGAATGGGAACAAAAAAACAATGGCCTAAGGGCATGGTCCGTCCCTGAAATCCTAAGTAGCATTTAATCGGATCCAGCCCCTGACACTTTGCACACGGCAGTCACGGAAAGCATCAGAGACTCGGATCCGGTGCAGCTTGGGAAAATGTTGCCGGCAGGTCAGAGTGCTACGGAGGCACTGCCGGCACCCTACTGACACCCCGGCATTCTATGGCGATGTGGCTCGGCTGACCACACCTGAAACACTTGGCCGTGGGACCCCAGGGCGGAGGGGGCTTCGCCGGTTGCCAACCCACCCGCGGGGGCCTTCTCCCGTACGTCCCCAGGCCGCACACCACAGCCACCATGTCCTCCTCCCGCCACGGCCAAGCCTCCACTTTGGGCCAATGCTGGCGGGCCTCGTGGCCCTGAATTTCCCAGGCCACCTTATAAACACAACCCTGATCATGTAACACCAATGGTGCTGACCGAGACAACCAACAACTATCCGGCCGTGCAATATCTTGCCAAGACGGTATTGACGAAGGCGGCGAAGATGACAGCCACGACGAGATGAGCCCACTCCCAAAACTGACAGCCCTGAGCTCCCACTCTCAGCTGCTTTTATGCTACCCAGTGTGGCTTGGCTCTGCCCTGGCCGCGCCTCCCTTCTCGAAACCACTAGCAGGTTCCAGGAGCTTCCAGATGGGGTCTTCCATGACCCTTGCCCCAGTTTTTCTGCCCTGCCGACTAACCCGTGTATATGCTCACTGGCGTGTGTATTATTTGTCCACCGCAGTTGCCGTTGCTGGACAACAATCGGCGTTATTACACTACACTAGTACAGCAGACCGGTGTGTTGGAGAACAAATCGCGTAGTGGCGGGTTTCACCAAACATTGAAATTAACGCGTTCTTATTATGGGCAATTAAGCTCCAGATGAATGCAAATATTATCACAATATAGTGAATGCTTGGGAGCTTATTGGCTCTTACTCCTGGTTAGAGATCTACCCAACCCATATGTCCACAAATACTGGCTGCTCTTACTCTGTAGGTTGAACCTAGGAATTGAGTGTGCAACTTCACGTTATTTTAATTAAAGGCATGTGACAAAGGTGAATCTATTGGAGCTTCATTGTCTCAAGCTTACACATCTACCGGGTCTCCATTTGACTTTGTATTGTTTAAGAAGTCCAGCCACACCTCCACTCCCACAAACTACTGGGAGGTGCCTCGCTCTGCCTCACAGTCAGAATTCTTCTCCTGCTACACGTTGCCTCCATCGGTGTGAAGGTCCGATTTTGTAGTTGAATCTTCATTTTCACATTTTACCGTCACTTCGTCGCTCTTCACTGCCGCATCTTCACATTTCACCTACGCCTCTTCAAATTTCACCTTGATACATTTTAAAGTGTCCAAGCTGGGATTTTCTTGTAGTTCTTATCATTAAGGATGGGCGCCTGGCAGCACTTTTGACTTTCACAAGCCTCTGCTCCTTGGGGATCTTCTGATGCCTGTGTAATGGGTTCATATTAAGCGCACACACTTCTTGGGATGCAACACTCATTTCTTAATGAACACAACAGTGACTCAACAGTTACTCTTACTTTACACATAGGGTGTGACCACCGACCTACCCCAGCTAAGACACACTTCTCTCTTAGCTACTCTAGCGTGACCCAGCCAGGTGGCTGCTGGCGGTCCGCTCACCGTAGGCCTTCTCTTCTTGGCATCTTCACGAGGCATCTTCATTCTCAGCACGGGCAGCCTCGAACCCCCTGAGGCTGCTTATATGGGCCTCGGCGTGCCCGGCCTCACCCCGGCCACGCCACCCTTCGAGCACCCTCTAAAAGCCCCCCTGCTGTCCACGTGCCCCCCGAGGTCCCCCTTGGCCCCCAGCCCCCCACTCGGATTCGGTCACGTGTCCAGCACTGGCCCTGATGTCATTCCCGCCTCCAGCCGGGATGACGTCATGTGTGTGTGTAGACCCACGTGATAGTAACGCAGTGACGTCACACGTGTGCGTCTGTACACAGCAGCGACACCACAATCATTACACCTGTGTTCTCTGGTGATTTTTAAGAGCAGGTGAACCTGAAAATTCCTTCCCACACACACTGCACATGAAGGGTTTCTCCGTGTGTTCTCTGGTGGATCTGAAAAACTGATGACTGTGCAAATGTCTTTTCACAGACAGTACTTTCTTTGGTGTTCTTTTAGTCTGTGACAAAGGTGCATTTGTTGGAGCTTCATTGTCTCAAGCTTACACATCTACCGGGTCTGCATTTGACTTTGTATTGTCTAAGAAGTCCACCCACACCTCCACTTCCACAAACTCCTGGGAGTTACCTCGCTCTGCCTCACAGGCAGAATTCTCCTCCTGCTTCACGTTGCCTACATCGATGTGAAGGTCCGATTTTGGAGTTGAATCTTCATCTTCACATTTTACCATCACTTCTTCACATTTCACCTCTTCAAAATCCACCTTGATACATTTCATTGCGTCCAAGCTGGAATTAAATTCAGGTTCTTTTTTCAGCAGGGATGAGCTCATTGCAGCACTTGGACTTGCACAAGCCGATTTCAGACTCCGCTCCTTGGGGATCTTCTGATGCCTGTGTGTTCTGTGGTGTCTTTGAAGATGTGATGACCGTGCAAATGCCTTCCCACACACAGTGCACTTAAAGTGTTTCTCTCCTGTGTGTGTTCTCTGGTGGTCGTGAAGAATTGATGACTCTGTAAATGCCTTCTCACACATAGTGCACTTGAAGGGTTTCTCCCCTGTGTGTGTTCTCTGGTGTCTTTGAAGATTTGATGACATTGCAAATGCCTTCTCACACATAGTGCACTTGAAGGGGTTCTCTGCTGTGTGCGTTCTCTGGTGGTCGTGAAGATTTGATAATGTTGCAAATGCGCTTCCACACACAGTACACATGAAGGGTTTCTCCCCTGTATGCGTTCTCTGGTGTGTTTTTAGATGTGATGACTCTGTAAATGCCTTCTCACACACAGTGCACTTGAAGGGTTTCTCTCCTGTGTGCGTTCTCTGGTGACTCTGAAGATTTGATGACTTTGCAAATGCCTTCTCACACATAGTGCACTTGAAGGGGTTCTCTCCTGTGTGCGTTCTCTGGTGTTTTTTAAGATGCGATGATCGTGCAAATGCCTTCTCACACACAGTGCACTTGAAGGGTTTCTCCCCTGTGTGTGTTCTCTGGTGGCTCTGAAGATTTGATGACGTTGCAAATGCCTTCTCACACATAGTGCACTTTAAGGGTTTCTCTCCTGCGTGCGTTCTCTGGTGACTCTGAAGATATGATGACGTTGCAAATGCCTTCTCACACATAGTGCACTTGAAGGGTTTATCTCCTGTTTGTGTTCTCTGGTGTTTTTTAAGATGTGATGACTCTGTAAATGCCTTCTCACATATAGTGCACTTGAAGGGTTTCTCTCCTGTGTGCGTTCTCTGGTGACTCTGAAGATTTGATGACTTTGCAAATGCCTTCTCACACATAGTGCACTTGAAGGGTTTCTCTCCTGTGTGCGTTCTCTGGTGGTTGTGAAGATCTGATGATCGTGCAAATGCCTTCTCACACACAGTGCACTTGAAGGGTTTCTCTCCTGTGTGCGTTCTCTGGTGACTCTGAAGATTTGATGACTTTGCAAATGCCTTCTCACACATAGTGCACTTGAAGGGGTTCTCTCCTGTGTGCGTTCTCTGGTGTTTTTTAAGATGCGATGATCGTGCAAATGCCTTCTCACACATAGTGCACTTGAAGGGTTTCTCGCCGGTGTGTATTCTTTGGTGACTCTGAAGAATTGATGACGTTGCAAATGCCTTCTCACACATAGTGCACTTGAAGGGTTTATCTCCTGTGTGCGTTCTCTGGTGACTCTGAAGAATTGATGACGTTGCAAATGCCTTCTCACACATAGTGCACTTGAAGGGTTTATCTCCTGTGTGTGTTCTCTGGTGTTTTTTAAGATGTGATGACTCTGTAAATGCCTTCTCACATATAGTGCACTTGAAGGGTTTCTCTCCTGTGTGCGTTCTCTGGTGACTCTGAAGATTTGATGACTTTGCAAATGCCTTATCACACATAGTGCACTTGAAGGGTTTCTCTCCTGTGTGCGTTCTCTGGTGGTTGTGAAGATCTGATGATCGTGCAAATGCCTTCTCACACACAGTGCACTTGAAGGGTTTCTCTCCTGTGTGCGTTCTCTGGTGACTCTGAAGATTTGATGACTTTGCAAATGCCTTCTCACACATAGTGCACTTGAATGGTTTCTCTCCAGTGTGTGTTCTCTGGTGTTTTTTAAGATGTGAAGACTCTGTAAATGCCTTCTCACACATAGTGCACTTGAAGGGTTTCTCTCCTGTGTGCGTTCTCTGGTGACTCTGAAGATTTGATGACTTTGCAAATGCCTTCTCACACATAGTGCACTTGAAGGGTTTCTCCCCTGTGTGCATTCTCTGGTGTGTTTTAAGATGTGATGACTCTGTAAATGCCTTCTCACACATAGTGCACTTGAAGGGTTTCTTTCCTGTGTGTGTTCTCTGGTGTGTTTTTAGATGTGATGACTCTGTAAATGCCTTCTCACACACAGTGCACTTGAAGGGTTTCTCCCCTGTGTGTGTTCTCTGGTGGCTCTGAAGATTTGATGACTGTGCAAATGCCTTCTCACACATAGTGCACTTGAAGGGTTTCTCTCCTGCGTGCGTTCTCTGGTGACTCTGAAGATATGATGACTTTGCAAATGCCTTCTCACACACAATGCACTTGAATGGTTTCTCTCCTGTGTGAGTTCTCTGGTGCTGTGTCAAACTTCCAGTACGATCCGTGCTGTTTGTATACTGGTCGCATTGTTTCCTTCTTGTACCGAGCTGCATCGAGTCCCTTTGCTCCATCAGACCAATTCTGCAGAGGAAGAGTCAGAGGAAGCGTCAGCTGCAGACAGAAAAACACATCCACACCATCTACGTCAGTATTAAGGCACAGATGAATGCATATATGCACAGTCACACATGACTTAAACATCTATACTTATTAATATTTTCATGATATAGTGAAAATAATTCCCCAATTCATCACGCGGGCTGTTAAGGCACACAATGAGAGGGCCAATGGTCATAAATATGACTGGACACCCTAGTGTCTTCAAAATGAATGTTTACCAAAAACTCCAAGCACACAATTTCGGTTGTCTAGCTACGACAGGAATATTTATTTAAGAAAAAGTAGCTAACATAGCAAAGGCTGTTGAAAAGAATATTATTTGTATTATGCAGAAATGTATAAATTAATGTTCATTTGCAACTTAGAGGTGTGAAGCCAGGCTCAGATGAGCTTGAATGCGAGGATGAACAGATCTAACTTCAGCTGCATATGTGCAGTGTTAATTTCCTGACTGTTTCCATTCTTATAAAATCTTGTTCTGTACCTGTTGAATTCCATGACGAAATGGGGCCTTGCATATGTTCTACAAAAAGATCACCTCAATGGGAAAATCTTGACTTAAAACTTGTGATAGTGGGAATTCATATTCTTTGGTTATTTCGGTAAAGTCACGTAGATAGAAAATAATAATACGAATAAAGTGAATAGAAGAAAAAAACGACTAATGTAGACTGTAGCCTGGTTCTTAACCTCGGTGAGCGTACTGACAGTCTATAATGTAGACTGTAGCCTGGTTTTTAACCTCGGTGAGTGAATTGGCAGTCTATAATGTAGACTATTGCCTGTTTTTTTTACGAGACCTTTGCAATGGACAAGACCTTTGCAATGGACTAGACCTTGGCAATGGACACTCACAGCTTTGTATGTAAAAAAGTCCAGGCAGCTTCCACATATTCTTTGGTTTTTTCGGTAAAGTCACGTATAAAAATAAAATAATAAATTAAATAATAGCATACGACGTTTCGATTGCAACACAAGCAATCATCATCAGGTATAATGAAATAGCGACATAGAATATAACCAGAAAACTATAGACAGACATATAAGCAGACAGATATCAACAAGATACATAGAGAGAGCAACCCAGGTACAGAGAGAGGTGATCGTCTCTCTGTACCTGGGTTGCTCTCTCTATGTATCTTGTTGATATCTGTCTGCTTATATGTCTGTCTATAGTTTTCTGGTTATATTCTATGTCGCTATTTCATTATACCTGATGATGATTGCTTGTGTTGCAATCGAAACGTCGTATGCTATTATTTAATTTATTATTTTATTTTTATACGTGACTTTACCGAAAAAACCAAAGAATAATTCCTGCAGTCACGAAAGCTCCAAAATTAAGAGCTTCCACATAGTGTTACAGAGCCTAATGAAAGAATGCTGCTAGACTAATTTGAAGTGAGACTTTGGATGTCAAACCAGAGCTGGTCGTGAACACATTAACGAGGTATAGAAGCTCCTCAACCATGTGTAGAACGACCTGATTATTCATGGAGAGCTGAGCAGGTGCAGTGCTGTATGACATTAAATTCCCAGGGAGGTGTTCTTTGGGTCTTTCGGTAAAGTCACGTCACTTAACCGAAAGACCCAAAGAATATGAATTCCTGCAGTTACGAAAGCTTTAAGTCAAGATTTTCCCAAGGAGGTGATCTTTTTGTAGAACATATGCAAGGCCCCATTTCGTCATGGAATTCTCCAAGTACAGAACACGATTCTCCAATTTAATATCATTGAGTAGCCATGACCAGATCATCAACATGCGTAACATGGTTGACCAGCAGGGGACAATCCCTTGAGTATAACCAGGCATCGATTAGCGTATCATTGTTACTGTATGAGATGAAATTTTTCATAGGGCCATTGTGAGCTTCTCAAAACACATTATTTGAAAATGCTACGTAATGTAATGCATGGGGCCAGAGAGAATTTCAGCCACAAGCCAAATTGAACAGGAAAGGGCCCTGACTCCTGGTCATGCAGCTTTAGATGGGTCTGCCTAAAATCATAAAAATACTCAACGAATGTGAACAGAGGCAGAGACATCGAAAACAAAAAAACAATCCCAAACCCCAAGCGCCTCTTTATAGTACTATAGGTCGTAATTACACCAAAAAAGCAGAGATCTAGTTCCTGCTGAAAATCCGTACTCCTGTGCTATAGCTGATGGACAGAAAATACAGCAGCCCCTTGAATAGCGCGGAGGTTACATTCTTGGAAAGTGCCGTGCGAAAGCTAAAATGCCGATATTTAACATTTAAGCCTTACCTAAATAATGGGGTTAGGTAAACGGCATATAAAATATACATCACAATTGAAATAAGTACTGTACTGTATTCCCAATAAATGAAATTAATGAAATAAATGTGGAGAAACCGTATACAAAAAATTCCAAGATGAGTATAAATGTATATAAATAAAGCAGACTTACTGTGTTTTTTTGAGAACCAAATTGCGCCAACACAATGAAACATACACACATCAAAAATTCCATGCGTACTCAAGGGAAAGTTATTATGTTTTTCACACAATTTTTTGCTTACCTGTTCACCTTCAACACCTGTAACACCTGCACACTCCAACACCCCGCTGCTGCTATATTTTTCTCATTTACCACATTATCCTTACATATAATCAGGCCTGCATTTTTGCCACAAAATTCATTCACTTCCGGCTCCTTACTGTCCTCTCTGCACACGCACAGCTCACCTCTAATATACTGCAATATTTCATCACGGGACCTTTGCCAGTACCAAAATATGATAATAGGTTTCCCCCGTGTGGTCAGAATGCAAACAAAAACACTCTGATAGAAAATGCATGGTCTGCTGCTGAGGCAGACTGTTGTAAAAGGTTTGAAATGGGTGTAGCCCAAGGGTCATAAAGAAGTGGCCGGGGCTAGTGATGTTAATGCATGTTAATGTGAAATCGAAGAGTGGTGCAATCCAAAGCGGCTTCCCTACAAGACAGAGAAGGGTCGAGGCTCTACCTGGGTAAACAACTACAACATTATGGGAACCTCATTTGGCAGTAAAAATATGATAATTTGTTTTTTACCCTTCTATCTGGCAACAAAACTGACACCTTTTAACAAGGAGTCATGTTTGCATAGACCGCAATACCTGCAGTCATAATACAAACAAAAGACATAACTCTGATAATGTGCACTGTCCTTGAAGTTGATTGGTCCACACCTGAGACGGCTTTCCTTAGAGCCTAGTCTCACATGGGTTGGACCAGATGATGCCAAAAGTGCGCCAGATGACTGCGGGTGACTGGCTGCGGGAACTGGTGGCAGGAATAATGGGGGCCACGTCGCTCGTGGAAGGGCAGGTGAACAGGCGGCAAACCCGGATTCTGCTGGACACGGGGGGCGGTAACGTCACTCGTGAGTGCAACACATTGCAGCGTGGTCGGGGTTGACGTGAGCTGCCTACAGGCCCCGGATCGTGCGCTGCAAACTGAAAGTGGAAGTGGGATGGGACTGCTGGGGAGGGTCACCCTTAAGGGTCGCCTCGGACACCAGGTGTGTAACCAGGAGTTATACGTGTCGAGCGTGTTATGCCACGAGCGTATTGCAGGTACCGACCTCCTGGAAAAGTTGGGGCTTAGCGTGCAGCCCCGCCGGCGATGCGCCACCATGGAGGGCAGCGGGGAGCGGATTCCTTTCTTGGGACAAGAGCCGGGTTGCTCTCGCTTCGAGCCCGTGGCCGCTATCCTGGCGTCGGCCGTCACCGTCGGCATTGGTGTTCCACTGGGTTTTCCGTTTTTCTCCCAAACCTAAACTCAAAATATAGTTGGTGGTGGTCAAACAGTCCAATGCAGGACCCTCCTGAAACATAATCTTTAACTGCTAAGTAAGAAATTAAGGCAACTCCTATGACTAATTGGGAATGGGACGCATGGTGTTGGACCAGATGACGCCAAAAGGCGCACAACTCAAAGACAATGCACCATCAGAGAGAGAGACTAGGCTCTAAGGAAAGCTGTTTCGGGTGTAGACTAATCAACTTCAAGGACAGTGCATACATTATCAGAGTTATGTTTTTTGTTTGCATTATGACTGCAGGTATTGTGATCTATGCAAACATGACTCCTCGTAAAAAAGGAGTCAGTTTTGTTGCCAGATAAAAGGGTAAAAAAAACTATTATCATAAAAATAGTTGTTCATCGGTCTAAAGGGTGCATCAGCAAAACCAACCCGGCAGAACGCTCCCGAATTAGAGTGCTGAGACTCATTGTGGCTATGTACTCGAGTGTGCACCATGGTGGCTGGGAGATGTTAACTGCCTCTCCTGGTTTACAAGAGGTGGTGGGTTCGATCGCGACCCCTCCTGTATATTTGGAGTTTGCGTGTCTCTCTCTCTCCCCGTGGTCGCGTGGATTTTCCTCCGGATCCTCAGGGTTTTCCCCTCCACATTTAGAGTCAACATCACCACGCGTTTAGAGTATTTGACCGACAGACATTTCCACACGTTGATAAGCCACTTTGTTGTGGGAAGGTCGCGTCTGAAAACAAGAGCGGTATAGCAGTTGAAGTGGGCTTGGCCTTGGTAAGATATAAAAACAAAACTGTAGAAATATTTAAAAGAAACAAAGTTTCAAAGTAGTGAGCCAGGTGAAGACAAATTAAACTTGAGCAGAGAATTAAAGCAAATGCAATCAGGCGAGGGCAGGAGGCAAGGCCCCGCATGGCTAGGCCCCGCGTTGTAATGTTCCAACCTGGACATGGATTCCATACTCGCTGCTACTCAATAGATATCCCGACAAGAGAGAGACGGAGCGAGGCTCTACCTGGGTAAACAACAACCACCACAACAACAACCACCACAACAACAACCACCACGATGTGAACTTCTCACCTCAGATCTCATTGAGCGCGCGCGCAGTGCAGCAGCTTCCGGATATATCGTGACGTCACGCGGCAGCAGGTGACATGACGTCACTAGCGGGGTTCATTACACAATCCCCTCCCCCAACGAGCAGCTGTTATTGAATAAATTATGTTAATAAGTCGGGTCCGTGTGGGGAGTTTGGGCTTGGCTGCTGAACCTGTTGCAATGAACTAGCGACGGTTTTCATGAATAAATTATGTTACAAACCTGCCAGTGACTGGGCGGAGCTTTTCCCAAAAAAGGATTTTTACTGGAACGGAAATCGAGTGACCAACTAAACGTGACGTCACGCTCAAAAGCGCGGTCGAGGGGGGGTTGGGGGGTTGAATACCTTGGTGACATGACGTCACTAGCGGGGTGCAGCTCTCCCTCGCGTCTCACGCCGAGTTAATAGGTGGTGACGTCAGAGCGAGATCATGGTTAGAGTTTAAGTTTATTTAGATTACATTTATATTGCTCCCTCTCTTGAACAGAGACTCCTTGGGTGTGTGAGTTCAACAACAACGTGAACATTATTGTGTGTGTACAAACTGTGTGTGTGTACACTGTGTGTACAAACTGTGTGTGTGTACACTGTGTGTACAAACTGTGTGTGTGTACACTGTGTGTACAAACTGTGTGTGTGTACAAACTGTGTGTACAAACTGTGTGTGTGTACAAACTGTGTGTGTGTGTGTACACTGTGTATACAATGTGTGTACACACTGTGTGTGTACACACACTGTGTGTGTACACTGTGTGTACAAACTGTGTGTACACTGTGTGTGTACAAACTGTGTGTACACTGTGTGTGTACAAACTGTGTGTGTGCGTGTACACTGTGTTGGCACAGTCGGGGGTACAGGTGGTGCATTGGCCAGTCAACGGAGTCAGTCGAACCATGGCATCTGGGTCTATCCCGTGCACATGGCCTGGCACAAACGCCATGGTGACGTCACCGCCACTTAGTGGCGAATGGCGGTTGTTGTTCTTGTAACTGTGGACAGTGCTGTGGGGGGAGGGCCAATTCCGATTAGACTTTCCCCTCGTGGCATTCGTAGCTACCACATCAGCTAAATGGGGGCTCTGGATGGGTGTGAGGGGCTGGTAACCCCTCCATCTTCAATAAATTACAACTAAACCACGTCTAAGATTGCACTTGAAGGGTTTCTCTCCTGTGTGTGCAGATGAAACTGAAAATGCTTTGCCCCACTGCACTTGAAGGGCAATTTTTTCGGTGTGTTCTCTGGTGGCTCTGAATAACTGATAAACATGCTAATTTCTTCTCACACAGTGCACTTGAAGGGGTTCTCTCCTGTGTGAGTTCCCTGGTGCTGTGTCAAATTTCCAGTACGATCCGTGCTGTTTCCTTGTACCGAGCTGTGCTGAGTGCCTTTCCTCCATCAGACCAATTCTGCAGAGGAAGCGCAATATACACAGTCACACATGACTTGCACGTCTATACTTTTTTCATGATGTGGTAAAAAAGATTCCCCAATTCATCACAGGGGCTGTTAAGGCACACAATGAGAGGGCTAATGGTCATACATATGCCTAGAAACCCTAGTATCTTCAAAATGAATGTCAACCCAAAACTCCAAGCACACAATTTTAGCTGTCTGGCTACAAAAAGAATATTTATAAAAATTCAGCAAACATAGCAAAGGATGTTGAACATAATACTATTTGTATTAATGTTAAATCGCAACTTAGAGGTGTGAAGCCAGGCTCAGAATTGTTTGAGTGCTTTGATGAACAGATCTAAGTTCAGCTGGAAATGTGCTGTGTTAATTTCTTGACTTTATCCATTCTTAGAAAAAGTTCCAGAAGAAAACAGAAATGAACAATGTTTTGATTTAACCTGCGTGTTCAATGGAGTTAATATATTTTACAGCAGATACAAACTTGACACTGTCACACACTGGCATGGTAAACATGTGATGGTGTGTCCAGAACCATGCCTGGCCGCCTTCATCTGCTCAGTGTTAATGTTTCCTCACTTCACCATGTAATTAATTGAGGATCATTGAACATAGAAGTCCATAATAAGTTCAGCTTTCACTTATCAATGATGTTTGCTGTCGACGATTATCAAACTCTAATTGTTGAATTCATAATACAGTGATATAACTGCGCCACCGCTCCTCACATAAATAAAGTATTACATACACATACATTGCATGTGGATCATTAACATGTGCTATAAAAAACAGCCACCATTCCAATCAGATGCTTACCCTGGTTTCTCACCGTTCGTGGCTCCGCCCCCTACCTGCCTGCTAACCCGTCTGTGTTGTGTGCGTCTAAACTGCTATCTCCGCCTCGCTGTGCGCTCCGTTGCGCCGCTAGCTGAGTAGTTAACCTCGCGTCCAATAAACCCTCAGAGCCAGGATGAACATCTGACTCCAAACGTCATTTATTGAATTTAACGAGGTAAAACTGGTAAGAAAACAGCACAGATACAACATCTGTTAATACACGGAAACACCAACACAATGAATGAACACCACATCATCATACCATTGTCTTAGATAACATGTTTCTCAACAATAGATCCTGGATGGACCAGGCCCCTACATTACCACTGAATAACTATACAAGAGCATAAGCTGCTTTGTTACATAAAGGCACATCTTGTATTCATCACACTGCACCCCAAATGTACAGTATTACACATAACACTAAATTGTGGATGAGATATTTCGTCATCCTTGCTCTTAGGATCGCAATAAAGTTACTTGGGTACAAGTTTGACTCGATTTATTAAATTACAAGTAACATTCACAGTAAGGAAAGTAGCAGGCTTCGTTGTTAACTAGCACTCGTATTTATCATAACAATTTAACAACATTATAAAGGCATTTACATCATTATAACGGTCATTATAACAGCATTGCCAATATTATTAGAACATAAACGAACTTACAGACAATGCTTCTTAAAGTCCCACAATGGACAATTGCGGCTGGCTTCACTGGGACGCGATGTGTGCCGCCATCTTGAAATATGTGTGTAATGGCCGACGCCCGCGTGGTTGAGCGGCAATCTTAAATCGCAACTTCCTGGTCACGTGACCAAAATTAGCATCAAAAACAGGAAATTCCTGTGTACACCCCCCCCCCCCCCCCCCCAATTTGCCGTGAGGCAAAACCCCTGCCATGAGGCAGAACAGTCTATAATCTGTTGCCTGCTTCTTTACCTCACTCAGTGTACTGCCAGCCTTTCATGTCGACTGTATCCTGCTTTTTCAGCTGCTGACCATATTGCCAGCTTTTTATGTCTACTGGAGCAATGCTTATGTCATTGAGTCAGCATACTGGCAGTCTGTAATCTAGACTGTAGCCTACTTCTCAACTTACCTGTACGTACTGCTCTGCTGCTCTTTAATGTAAAATTATTTCGTCTTATTTCTTCACTGCATTTCTATTGTTTCGATTGCGCACGTCACGCTATTTACTGATATGTAGTACTGCGATGCCGATTAATATGTTATACTGCTAAATACGTTGGATTTTCTTAGCTACAGCCCATTGCATTTCGTCTATCGTTTTGTGACATTCGTGGGAACATCACCCATTTAAATTTTGCCGTACCGCACCTTTACTTTCCACCAAAGCGGGGAGCACGCAGGGAGGTTCAATGTCCCAAATATTATTGACCTTGCTTTCTTACGGTGGGTGAGGAACATTGTGAGAGAGACATTGTTCTTCCATACCAAGAAAACACCATCGCCCAATTTCTTGACACTAACGGAGCATAGGATGCCCTACAATAACACATTTTTCTGTCGCAAGGCCAAGATGGGTACCACGTCAAGATTCCTCCAATTACAAAGCTGCAGGACAAAGACATCCTCACGAAACTGTCTCCTCTAAAAAAACGTATATTCCTTCGTGATCATGGACAGAGGAGGACACCACATTATGGTGCGCCAACCTCTTTCACCAGTATGTTGTCGATGAGTATGCCACATTCTACTAAATCAAAACCGCCTGCGTGTGAACAGTATGTTCATCTCTGGGACTCCATCAATGCCGAAGGAGATACAAACTGTCACAATGTGGGCTGATTAGTTATTTTGCCTTCATCCTTTGCAGCTCCACCAAGATACATGCATGAGAAGACTCGGGATACCATGACGTACATCAGCCAATATGCCACTCCCCATCTCTTCATCATCTTCACTTGCAATCCCAAATGAAAGGAGATCCAGGTTTACCTTAATCCAATCCAAAAGCCACCAGACAGACATGACATCTTAGCGAGGGTCTAAAATTCAAAGTTCATGACCTCATGATGCTTATTATGACCAACGAAGGCGACATGTTTGGATAGGCAAGCAGTAACTTGCACACCATTGGGTGGCAAAAACGTCGTCTTCCTCATGCTCACATTTCGCTATGGATGAGGGAAATAATTCATGCAAGTCACATTGACACATTTATCAGTGCTGAGCTATCTCACCCCCATCCAGACCCTGCCCTTTTTTCTATGTGGTCTGCAATCAAATGGTCCATGGCCCATGTGTCCAGTTCTATCCAAATGCGCCATGTATACAAGACCACAGGTGTACCAAGAGGTATCCACGGAACTACTTGAAAGACACTCAGTCGGCCCATGATGGCTATCGTCACAGAAATACTGAGCATGGATTTCAAACAACGCTCAGACCTGCCACTAACTCGCTAATTAAGGTTCACAACCGGTGGATCATTCCCTACTGCCCTCTTCTGTGCAAGATCTTCCAGGCCCACTTTACCGTGAAATTCTGCTATTCTAAAAAAAGCCATCAATTATGTTTACCAATACATCAACAAATGCTCGGACATGCATGTCTTTGCCTTACAAAACAGAGGGGTAAAGTGTGCATGAGCTTAACCTTTTTTTCCAAGGAAGATACATCAGCAACAATGAGGCCATTTGTAGAATTCTTGGCTTCCCCATCCATGACCGTTCCCCCACAGTCGTCCATTTGGCACTTCACCTCCAAAATGGTCAACACATCTACATCACTAAAGGAAATG